GAAGTTGCTCGAGAGCTGGGAGAGCTCAGAACTTCCAGCCATGTGCAGTTAGCACCAGCTGGAGGACTGTCTCACAATTCCAGAGCAGAGAAAATGAGAATCAGACCCTAACTGATTTTCTTACTTCAAAACAAATGTTATAAAATTTAATCATTTCCTCCTAAATATCTCCTATATGTATGTGGTAAAACTGGAAGTTTCAGAGCAGTGTTATTTTCTGAGGCATCCAGACAAAACATGACTATGGAAAAACACTTTCTGATGGAAGAAGATTAAAAAAATTTCCCTTTAATCTCAAATACAACTGTATATATATTTTAGATTGAATTTTAAGAGGTGAACTAAAACCATCAGAGATAGATTTCTTCCCAGATGAAATCTTTGTTGTTGTTTAGAAAGTCTTGAATGGTTTAATATAGAGTTTAACACTGAATGACTACCTTTTCCTTAACTATAATACTTGTAACAGGAAACTAATAAATGTGTTTGTGGTAAGTGGAGAAATTGCCCAGGTGTATAGAAATTTTCAGTGCTTTAATCACCAAAAGAAAGAATTTCTTTTATAAGAAGGCGTGAGAATTGACAGACTCAAACATCAAATTCCAGTAAATTATATAGAACTATGCGAAGCACATGCATCAGGCAGTCCCTTAAAATAACCACCTGCTTATATGAGCTGGAAAGGCGTGAAAGATTCCTGTCCTGTATGTCAGGAGACGGTCAACACATGAGTGGTCTTATCAAAAAATAATAGCAAGGGGTTATGGTTGGATTTAAACTGACCAAAACAGCAATAATGCCATCAAGCTTTGAAAAGATACTGTTCTCCATTAAAGCAATATGTGTTGGAGGTGTTGCACAGCTGTTACTTGTGAAATAGGTTATTTTGAACTTGTCATATTTGACTGGCAAGTATCATTCAGTACTCTATTAAAGCATAAATAATTTCCTCACTTTGGAGATCAAAATTTAATACAAATGCTCAAACAAGAAAAAAATATGTCTTTTTTTATTACATCTGATTTTGAAAATTTCCATTTAATGTATTTATTTACCCAGCTATTGATTAATGTGTGCTCATAGCCCACTTGGTATGCTTTTAGGTATCACAGTGGTGCAGGGATTAACCAGTTACAAGTAGCTACTTTTGGCCATGGTGGCATTTAAAGGTTAGTTTGCAACAGAAAAGCATGGTGGGAAAGCAGTACTGCGTTAAGGTGGTAGGATTTTCTGCCAGGCGTGAGCAGCCTGCTCCTGACCCCACGTGGCAGTACACCCCTGAAGACCCAGAGAAACTCTAAAAGGCGTCATTTCCCTCAGCAGTCTCTCCTAGATATAGAAGTGGGCATTTTTGCTGTTGCTCTTAAGAAACCCACTAGGTTGATAAGGAACATAGCTGAGGTTTAGGGGTGACAGGCTGTATTCACAGCACCACACTGGGTAAACTAAATCTGGATGGGGTAGATCCAGATTCAAATTCCTTCTCTCCCTGTTTCACAGCAGATATTTGATCCAAATCTGTTCTAAGAAAGTGCCTTTATCACTATGCTGTAAATTGTTAATGATCTTTTACAGTATTTCTACAGTAATGTTTTTCTTTGTATAAGATTCAGTGATTTACACAGGAACCAGGATTCAAGGCTTCCGTAAGTAGGCTGGAGCAACTGGGTGATTCTGACTTCAGGTCCAGTGAAAAAAGGATTTAAACAGAGGAGCAACTTCAGTATAGCAGTCTAAGAGAGTTTGCGTAGGACTGAGCAATATAGCCCAGTGTTTAACAGACCCCTGTGGAAGGAAGGACATCTGGTGTTAAAACCTTGTTCCAAATCAGATTGCGTGGCAAAAGCAGCTTAGGTGCTTTGACAGTATGAACGCCTGGGAAGCCCACGGAGTTGTAGGACTTCTTAATTCTGGTTTTCTCACTTAGTCCCATTTCTGCAGGATACGTTGGCTCCTAAAGGGTGCGTCTGCTTGGCGCTTTATCACAGATAACTAAATGGATGTAATCAATATTTTAACTAAAACCAGGGGTCTGTAGGCAACAATTGAGTTATTCTGGGCTTAATATTTCTAAGAAGTGTATTTTTAAGAGATTTTAATGATGTCAGAACTACCTAGGTGAGAAGAGGACTTTCTTTTTTAATCCTGCAGCTTTTTATCTGAATTCGTGTGCATAACACAACTCCATGAATTTAAACATATAATTAGGTGTTTTTAGGATTGGGGTGTTGCTGCTCTTTGTGTTTTTTGCACCTTAAAATGATAGTTACTTGTGTGTTTGCTAGAGATATTTAGTCAAGGGAGAAGCATAACTTTTATCTGTAGTCCTCGTCATCTGTTATTTCCTCAGAAATTACTTTTTTATAAGAAAGGCTGAAATAAATCAATTTCTTTAGTAAGTCAAGGTACTAGATAGTATGTGTGAATTGTTAAGACCATATTGTTAACTTTTTTTACCACTCGTTACTTTCAGGGAATTCAAGCACACCAGACAATTCTCTGATGGAATTATGTTTAAAACAAATTTTATGTATTTCTTTTTTATTTTTAAAAATACATGAGAAGACTGTTCCTTTTTTCAACAGTGTACAAACTAATTTTATTATAGTAGAAGAAATCATTGCTGAATTGTTAATGAGTTCTGGTTCATGATCAGTTTTGTCAGAATAATTGACTAGATTGAAGGCTTCTTGAAGAGACATTGAAGCCTGAGGCTTCATTCCATGATGATTCTTTCCGTAGTGACAGAAGTGTGTGTTGTGAGTTCAGGGCGATTTTGTTGTTGAAATCCCTAGTCCTGCAAATAGTTGTGGACTGCCTGACTGTACAAATACTGGAATAAATTTAGACTTTCAGCCCCAAAGCGATTACTTAAAAAGAGAGGAAAGAGGAGGAACAGGTTAGTTGATACAAGGTTAATCGGTCTAGCTCTAAAGGGGAGCCTTTCAGTGGTTAGTAGCTAGAAGCTGTACAACTGGAAATACTTTAATTTAAAATCCAGTATAAAAGCTTCATCGACTACCTACAGAAACATTTAAGATTGTATTTTTTTTTAATCACAGGTTTAGTCTTCTCCCTATAGCACATCCATTGAATTATTGGAGTTACGGTTGTAGAAAGCTATTTTAGCATGGCCAGAATCAGGGTACCAGACTTAAAATGGGCACCTCTCATATAAATACTATTTGCCAGAAAAAAAACACCCTTGGAGTTCTGTGTGGGTTAAAGGTCCCCATAGGAATGTCAGTTGGCGTCTTTCTTTACATCAGAACAGATAAAGGAAATTATTAATCAAACACAATGTTTTTGTTAGTCTTTGAATTAATTTTACTGCCTTCATGGATATTTAAAGGAGAGAATTTAACAGATATGTCTTTAGAATTTTTAAATTTAAAACCAAGTCCCCTTCCCATCTTGTTCTTTGTTTCCAGAACACCACAGAATTCCTGCTTTGGAAGAGGCAAATTGGTTGCTGGGAAACATCAACCAGACTGGCTACTTTAGAGTTAATTATGATATTAGGAATTGGAGGCTGCTAATTAATCAACTAACAAGGAACCATGAGGTAAGCTCCTCTTCTCATCCCTAAAATCTGCTTTGATGAAACCTCACTGTTTCATCACCCTAAATGGTTCAATTTTTGTGCTTGCCCCTCACAGGTTATCTCTGTCAGTAATCGAGCAGGCTTGATCGACGATGCATTCAATCTAGCCAGGTATGTTTTCCTGAAGATAATCTATCCTCATACACATTGCTGCAATAACTCAAGCAATCATCAACTCAGCAGTTGAGTGTGTTTCGACGTTAAATATGTTTTAAACACACTTTAGTTCTTTTCCCCTCCCTTTTTTTTTTGTATGGCACATAAACATGGTCTACAGCACATTCACTGCTCTTGATCAATAATTGCCATAGGGTATTTCCGAGTCTGGAGAGATCTGATCAATCTTGCAGCAAGTTCAATTTAACACTTTGGAGATAAATAATCTCTTTCCTCTTTCTCTAATGAATGAGGGTTTTTTCTTCTGTTTCTCCCTAATGCCCTGCTTCTCCTTTTTTTATAACTGACCCTTGTGCTGTATTTAATTTGTGATGGAAGGCACCTTCAAGCTTCAGGAATTTTTTTTGCCCTGACTTGTACTGTTATATCATTTTTCCAATATCTTTCTTTTCTTGTTACCTGCTAGAACAGACTCTTTTTTCTGCATGATGCTTTTCACACAGAATGGAAAATCAGAGTTCTGTTGAGCATTTGTGGAATTCATACAACATTTTGTGTTTTCCTATGATCAGAGTTAATAATTAACACATATAGTGCTGGTTAGGTAATGCCATCTTTACAATTTGAGGCAATGGAATTGTCCCCATTTTGAAATCAGGACATCCAATATGTTGGTAGTGAAAGTGTAAAGTGAGAGGAAAGTAGTGGAACATTTCAAACTTCTTGATTCTTGAGGTACCTGGCAACATTGCATCAGTAAAACGCTGTGATGTCAGAGACAGCATGAAAAGAATTCCTGATATTACTGCCTTTTCTGTTTGCTAGCGTATTTATAGCCATATTTGAGCAGGGGCTTGCAAGAATCGGCAGTACTGAGGTACATTTCGCTACAAATGGTCACCGGAGATGTTTGAGATTCAGGCACGGTGGCACACAGAAATTATGGCTCAGTGATGTTCCAGCATCACTGCAGTAAAACACAGTTGTGTGCCCTACCACTCTGTTCCTGCTGCCAGTGCTAGACTGAATATATGACATAAACTAGTGATTAGCCCTTACTTAACAGTCCAGAGATGTAGTAGGAAAGGAGGCATCATGGGGAGTGAAGGAGTATCCATTTGCTTTCTGCAGTGCCCTTCATTCTTGCCTTGTGGCATCTTCCCATTGGCAACAGTAAAGGACTAGAAATAGGTCATCACTTCAGACTTCAGTGGACCATGATTTGTGTACTCTCTGGCTAGTAGAATATTGTAGAGTATTCTGAAATATCTAGACTATTAGAAGAACTACTAAATGTTCGGTAATGTAACAGTCTGTTCCAATTTTATTTGGTTTTGGCACCTCAGAGAAGTAGTGTGCAGTTGCACAGAATCGGTGTGGCGCTTTCTTCTTTTTCCATGCACTGAACGCAGTCAGATGTGGCCAGACTTCCCTGAAAATCTAGACACTGAAAAAAGCTGTTTCTTAAGCTTGTAGGTGCGTGTTTTTCTTCTGAGTCCGTACTGAGCCAGTGCTCTAGGATGTCTTGTTCATGAAGCGTAAAGGCAAGGTCTTGAATAAAGGCCCAACCTGCATCGTCAGGCCAAGTTTTGTCTACCTAAAAACCTCCCAGAGATTAGATGAGTAATGCATTCCCCACTTGCTTTCCAAAGCAGTTTTATGGTGATACTGGATCTCGCTGCTTTTCTGGAGGTAACTACGCCAGAGCGCTGTGAAGTCTTTCACAAGATTTCACATTGTAAAAACTTGACTTTCTTTTGTTAACGATGAGCTGCAGCGGACTGCTGCTACATTTGCTACTCATGCACCATGGAAAAAAGTAGTTGAGCTAAATATTCACAGCGTATACACATGTGCATACATGGATATTACTTATGAGGAAATATTCTTCCAACAGGGATACGTAGCTAGATTCCTCTTTCTTTAAAATCTCTGCACAGACTCCTGTCAGTAGCATTACCTTGCGTACATGCCTTACAAGACAGTCTGGGTGGAGGAAAGATCTGCATGTTTGCAAACAGTAGATCTATGCTCTGTATTTCAAGAGTAGCAATAAGACATGTGGAGCTGGCTAAACTTGCCACGTAGGGTATACTTTTTGTTGATCTTTTTTTACTTTATTCATCTATCATCTTTCCTATTAAAAAACTCCCAAACAACTACAGCGATGCTGGTTAGTCTAATTGGCTAGCTGACCATATGGTACCTTTTTAAGAAGGGTTTGGTATTTTTTGTTTTCATTTCCCCTCTCCCAGACAAAGAAAGACCAAGAATAGGTCTAATCCTTGCTCTGTTCCTTTATCAGGAGTAGGACTAGAGAGGCATTAAAGACTTAGAAGAGGGTTGTGTTGGGGGGCAGGCCTTGATGGCAGAGCGCCTGAACTTCTGGGAGTACGAAAGCAGATGGAAAACTCTTGCTGGGACAAGCAATGGGGAATCACACACTGATGCTGTGGTGCAGCATAGCTGCCCCTGCTGTGTTGGGTGCTCCAACGTGATGCTGCAGTGTTCCTAAAACAAGGTCCGAGGGCTATCAAAATCACATAGACCCTTTCAGTTTCCTCAAAAAGTCGGTGTTCAGAAGGCCACCATCAGCCTAAAAGCAGCTTAGCTTCCCCCCCCTTGGCTGCGAGGGGCAGTGCAGAAAGTCGCTTCACTTTCTTTTGGAGCAGTACCATGGTTTGGATGTTACCTGCCTCATGGATGCTGTGCTGATTCAGTCTCGTCACTGATGCACAGTGTGTGTTTCTCCCTGCCTATATAATGTTACGTGATGGGGAGATTAAACGCATACAATATTGACTCTGACTGTGACGTGAGAAAAGGTGAGTAACCTTATTGACCAGGCATAGAGGTAATAATTGGTAGTTTAGACCTGACTTCTGAGAAGACTGGCTGTTTTTAAGGGTAATTCAGTCCTCAGTTGTGGTCCCGAGTTGCACCAATGTATTATCTTCTTGTCTACAACTATGAACATACACATTTTGAGAGAGAGAACTGTGGAATACATACTTTTATTTTAATCCCTAGCTATTATTTTCAGTGATAAAATAATGCAAAAATGAAAACATAACTTCTTAAATTCATGCTGGTCCTTTTTAAAAGAATTTCTAACATAAATAGTTCTTTTTACTGTACTGAAGAGACTGTATTGCTTCAAAATACCCCGTCCTTCTTAGAAACTTGTGAAGTACTCCCTAGTGTGTTGTTGAACTTGATACAGATAATGTCCATTCCACACCAGAAGGGTTTGACTCAATTTTTCCACTGTCCTAGTATGGTATGTCTTAATATGATATTTCTATGTAGTTTTACTGCTAATTGATTTTGTCTGTAGAACAAGTACAGGTCTTATCTTTAGTAAAATTTAATAATATTTAGATCTGGAGAAAGATGAAAAAATTGCTCATATAAATTATTTTGGAGCACCACATTTTATTTTTTAAAAAAAAAAAGGTGTGTTTGATTTCATTCCTCCAAAATGTTTATTATCCTTTTACTGTCCAGCATAATGATTTCTCCAAAATTAACAACATAAATGAATTGATGCCTCCAAGGAATATTTTAAGCTCTGTAACTTTAATTTCATAAAGTTTTGCCCATTTTCTATGGAAATATATTCCTCCTTCTTCCTTCTTGGTGTATTTTGGTTCCATAAAATTAATCAAGCAGAGTTGAATTGAATAATAGCAATAAAAGAAAGCTACAGCTTGCCCACTGTGTTTGAATTCTCGCAAGCTTCTTTGTTTTTCAGATTTTTAAATGTAATTCTGTTCTCAGCTGTAGTACATGCACACACCCTGAGGACCTGGAGAGCTGTAGCCTTGGCAGTAACATAGCTTATGAAAATACATGCCCCAAATTCTTGAGCAAGAATAGCACCTTGGCACTCTCTCTTCCCTTCTTGAAGATCCTTTATCTTTTGGGGATGTTTTGTATCAAATTTCAGTACAATTTGAAAATACCTTGATTGTAGTAAATGGGATGTGTTGACTGAGAAAGCCGAGAGAAGACAAATAGAACTGTGGTTTTCTTCTAAGCTTAAGCTGAGCAGAGGGCCGTTCCGATAGCCCCAATACGTAGTGTCACAGGAAATAACAAAGATCCTACTGTTTCTTGAGTAATGTTGTCAGCTTCTCCTGTCTTTCTCTTTCCTTAGGATAAGGGGTCAGTTAGTGAGTATGTGAGGTGGGATGTCTCCCACTTTACTTTAGGCAGCCCAAAGGTAGACCTGTAAATCTGAGCTTGTCACCTTGCAGTGCACTGACAGTTAATGGAGAGAAACGTGCACCTGACCTCTCAAAGCCACTTAACCACATAGGATAAGATAAATTATCCTCCTAATGTCAGGAGTGTTGTGTCACCCCTAGTTCTTCCTTGCTGGACTCTAAATCTTCATATTCGCTTCCCCTCATTAAACTGGTTGACTTAATCCAATATTATGTCAAAGAAATAGGTCTGGTTTGTATTCAGTGTTAATCAGTGTTGGATCAGATGTGACTGTGGATACCTATTTTACTGTCATCTAAAATAGTTACTGTTCTTTCCAGTTCTGGAAGAATCCATGAGTTTTGTCTCTTGAAACCTAATGTGTGTCTCATACCCCTTTGATCCTGCTTGCACCATAGTCAGCTCACCGTGTTAAGGTGGCAGGTGCTTCGTTTGCCTGCCAGCTGCTCAGGAAACCCTTTTTTTCATGCTGACAATCTGTCTTGCTATCGATTAATATCATATCTTCCGTTCTGCGGTTGAAGAGATAGTGGTGGAGTTCCTCGGATACTCAGATTTTCCTGTCGGTTCCCTTTTGGGTGGGTCATAGGCCTAGTGACAGCGCAGTGCACGTCAAGACTACACTCATTGGTTACACATTGACAAAGGCCAAAGATAAAACTTGACAGTAGTGTTTGGATATATCTTAGCAGCATTTCTTTGATGTTTATCAGAAGCTTTTTCTTAACTGGATTCGTGAGAAAGCATGAAGCGGTGTTGTTAAG